CGGTGATAAAGGCAGCAAAAATAGCAAACAAGCCATGTTGACTTAACGGCGTATGAAGGCATTCGCATTCAGTTCAAAAGACACAGCAAAAGCCAGAGTGCATAAAAACCCACAAAAACTGTGATTTTAAATTTCTAAAACTAAAAGGAAGGATGCCACAAGGGGAGCTCAACATAATCCAGCGGAGCTTCCTCTGTAAGAAGGTGACAGATTTTTGGTGAAAATAAAGTGATTAAAAGTGAGGAGTGGACAGAGAAAGAGAAATACAGGAAGAAACAATAACACAAGACAAGAGAAAAAAAAAAAAAAACAGAGAAGAAAAGAAACAGTATTAGAGCAGTGAAACAGCTCCACTACATCACTTGCTGTAGGCAACGCTGGAACAAATTATCTGTAGCGCAGAGCGAGCAGCATCTCAGGCCAATTTATCTCATGAGTCGGGTCACTGTCACAGGCTAAGGAATATTCAGTCGTTCTCATGTGCCTGCTCAGTAGATACAGCCTCTATTTGCTGCAAACCTCATTTAAACAACTCTCCACTTAGTAGACTAGAAATCAAATCTAAAATGATAATTAAAGTAATATATTCTGAGGAAATATAGTGTTGTCTTTGCTGCATTTTACCCAAAAGCCTGTGAGAATTGTTATTCAGCGTGTCATATCTGTCTATTACAGAGGACACGACACTACACTGGTAATATTTAGGTATCTATTCATTCTCATGAGTTAATGTAACAGACCAGAAGCTCCCACTCTGCAGTTTTTCTTTGCTTGGCTGCATTTTAGTTGTGGCTGTGCGTCTTCTACATAAGTCCCATGAGAATGAATAGATACCTAAAATATTACCAGTGTAGTGTCGTGTCCTCTGTAATAGACAGATATGACACGCTGAATACAATTCTCACAGGCTTTGGGTAAAATGAACAAAGACAAAACTATATTTCTCAGATAATTATTTAATTATCATTTTAGATGTTGATTTCTAGTCTCTAAGTGGAAGTTGTTTAATGAGGTTTGCAGCAATAGAGGCTGTATCTTACTGAGCAGCACAGAAGAACGACTGATATTCTTAGCCCTGGGTGACAGTGACCCGACTCATGAGAATAAATTGGCCTGAGCTGCTGCTCAGCTCTGAGCTACAGACGTACTTTGTCCAGCGTTGCTCAGCAGTGATGTAGTGGAGCTGTTTCACTGCTCTAATACTGTTCTTTCTCTTCTCTGTTTTTTTTTTTTTTTTTCTCTTGTCTTGTGTCTATTGTTTCTTCCTGTATTTTCTCTTTCTCTGTCCACTCCTCACTTTTAATTCACTTTATTTCACCAAAATATCTGTCACCTTCTTCAGAGGAAGCTCCGCTGGGATATGTGAGGCTCCCCCTGTTGCATCCTCCTTTTAGTTTAGAAATTTATAAATAACACAGTTTTGTTGTGGTTTTTTATGCACTTCTGGCATTTTGCTGTGTCTTTTGAACTGAATGAATGCCTTCAATAGCCGTTAATTCAACATGCTTGTTTGCTATGGTTTTGCTTGCCTTTTATCACCAAAATCAAGACACATGAGCTTGTTATGGCAGAAAAGCATTAAAACTCATTTGGCAAGAGCATGCAGCAACCAAAGCAGCACAGAAGTCTGGTTGGTCATCTTGGTTCATTGCTCTCTAACATTGAATGCATGTGTTTTTTGAAAGTGTATGTGCCACAATTTTCTAATTTATGGAGTTACCCTGCATTTCTTGTTTTTCCTTTTGGCTGAAGCGTGAAGGCTCCACACTGTTGAGAATCTTTCCCAGCAGTAATGATACAGAAAGCCCAGCTGGCTGTTGCAGTATTATGTCAATAAACTCTTCTGCAGCATATTCCTGGAATTATCATTTGGTATAAAGAATAAGTTAAATATACATACACACACACCACACCATGCATGTGTGTGTGTGTGTTGTGTATATATATATATAGTATATATATAATTATATCATAAATAAGCCATCATGATTATCTCTGAGAGACGAGGCATGAGAGGCAGTAGAAGGGCCGACCTGTTGACATGCTTTGGTTACAATGTAGACATGAATCCTCTTTGTTTCTGAGTGATTGTTGATTTATGCACCACAGTACAAAATATTCCATTTCATTGTGAAAACACAATATCTGCCTTAATTATTCATAGAAATGAAAAACGCACATCGGCAAACAAGTAATCTACTTCATGAAAAGTGCTTCAGGTCATTTAATGTGTAAAAGATACAGTGAAACCTCATATGAATTTAGCAGCTCTTACTGGCTCTGAAATAACTACCTGGGCCATTTTATCACTAATATAAAACTCTGCAGCAAACAGACATTAGAAAGGAGCCTTTCTTCAAACGTTGATGCACTGCTACTTTTTCTTTCATGGAGTGAAAAAACAGAAAAAAAAAATGAACAGTGATTGTGGCTCATGCAAAAGTTTAGGCCCCGTATGAAGTCAGTCAATTGTATGTGCGTCTGTTAAAATATTGGATCTGCTCAGTTGAGTCCACTTGAATAGAGCTAACAGCTGCTTTGACGAGATATAAAACGTGTTCAAATTTGAATGCACTAAAGCATCCTAGGAGAAATGGCTGGTTAAAAAGGTAAAACTCCACAGAATAAATGACTGAAAACAAATTATTCCAGCACTATTCATGCTCATCAGCCTTTTGCTGTCATATTTATTGTCAACAAAGTTGGAGTTCTGAGTTATGTGTTAAGTTATGAGCCCCAGAAATATCATTATAGTTTTTAGCATTAGGTGAATCTGCATTGAAGCTATATATGTGTGTGTGTGTATATATATATATATATATATATATATATATATATATATGAGTACCAACACCTTTGGCTGCTTCTACTGGATGTTCCCACCTTCACTTATCCACCTAAACAGAGACGTGTTTGCTTTTATTTTTATGCTTGTCTAACACCATCTCACATCTGGGGCCAGTTGCACAAAGATACTCTGTTAGACTTGTCTATGTGATGTGAGTAAGACTCTCACATTGATAAAGACCCATGTTTTTTTATGTTAAAGATTTGGCCACTGAACCTCCCCTGGTTATCTTTGTGTTAATTTTATGTGTCAGTGCCACCTGCTGACAAAACCGACAGGAAGAAATGGTTCAGTTTTTTTTTTTATATCATATTATAGAGCAAACAATGAGCAGGGGAAGAATTTCAAGAACTGTGTCAGTCAGATTGTTCCAGAGACAGTTTGTGCAGCTGATGAAATTTAGCCAGAATCAAACTTTTATCTTTGTGAAATCAGCCCTGTGCACTTAGACAACAAACATCTGCTTTTCTCCAGCAGGTAGCCAGCATGTGTGCCAGATGTGATATAGTGTATGTGCTGCAGTAGCTAGTTGTGGTGTTAATTTAAACATAATAATTAATGAAACAACAATTCTTCTCAATCTGCGATCTCACCTCCTGATGTTGTAGAGTAGAAGCTGTTTACTGAGTCACAGTGGCCTGGTGCTGATTGGGTCACGGCTTAACATGATAATTGGATAATGCTTGATAGGGTCAAATCATTTTAATTAGTACCAGGATATGTGGCTGATATCTTCTGCCAGGATTTGGCCATTAAAAAATAATTGATATCAGCTAAAATGAATTCATTACTTGGTCATTTTTCTATAGAATGATTACATGAAGGCAGTAGAGTGTCTCTTCCTTTTCAGTAGTTGTAGTTGGACATCATGTATTAGAAAGTTGCTGAAACTAAAATGTTTTCATCAGTGATGTCAGTGTCTCATGATCATCGAGATGATTTTCAGCAATGAATTTTAGCCAAATAATCAGATGTTAAGATACCACATATTGACAGGCAATAATTCCAACTGATCACTTCAGTGCTCAAAATATTTAATATCATTACAGAAAGTCTTGTGACTAAAAGGCAGCAAAATTAGACATTAAATCATTAAATGAATTTATTGGCTAATAAACTAAACAGGACAGTGTTTGATCAAGAAAATCTTTGTAAAAACTTCTCTCAGTGTTACTTTGTCATCCCTGATGTCAGCGTGACACTCACTGTGTGTGTATGAATGTGTGTGTGTGTGTGTGTGTGTGTGTGTTCGCCACAGAATAGTTCTGGCCTCGGCTCATCAGGGTCAACCGTTACCCAAAACCCTCAGCGTGATGGAGAGCACACCGCAGGTCCGCGGCATGCACACCATCATCAGGTCAGAACACACTTTCACACACACGTTTCGTCTTCTTTAAACTGCTGAAAACTTGAAAAGAGACGTAATAAAAAAAAAAAAAGAATAGTTACAATCAAAGTAGCAGAGCTTGAGATGTCCTGACTTTTACTCATGAGTGTCGGCCAATGTCTTTCCATTTTCTTACCAGACGCGCTGAATTGTCGTCCTCTTTGCTCCTGCCGTGTGTGTGTCTGTGTGTGTGTGTGTGTGTGTGTAGGAACAAGGAGACTAACCGAGACGAGTTTATCTTCTACTCCAAGAGATTAATGAGGCTCCTGATCGAACATGCTCTCTCCTTCCTCCCTCTCAAGGTGAGTTTTTGTGTTTGTGCGAGAGTCTGGAGATTATTAACTGACCTCCTGCTTCCAGTCACATTCGAAGGTTGAAGTAAACAGTGTCTGTCCGCTTCCCAGAAAATAATAACAGGAGCTTTTATTGTCTTAGTGTAACCTTTTAGACGACCCAGCATCAGTCAGTGCCCTCCTCTAAACCTCCTGTTAACCGGTGAAAGCCTCCATCAAGCTGCTGAACTCGAATACTAAACCAGTAAACAGAAATACACGGGCTCTTTAGCACTCAGCACTTTTTTGCACTTTTATTTGTTTTCATGTGATTGTGATGTTGTGTTGTGATGTCAGTGTGAAATGTATAGCTAGATGCTTCATGTTTTTGGGATGTTTTGTGTGAAGCAGCTGTCTAGCTTTGTGTCAAATTGTTTGTGTTTCTGTGATTTTTTATTTTTTTTTAATCCTATTTCATGTGAAGCAACAGATTGTAGCGCTGTGCCCAAGACAGATTTCCCTTTGGGGACAATAAAGTTTACTCTTAAATACTCTTAAATAGTGAAAGATGCTATTTTCAGTTTTTCTCTCCGTCTCTCTTCAGCCTGTATCCGTGGAGACGCCTCAGGGCGGCGTCTATGAAGGCAAGAGGCTGAGCGGGAAACGAGTAAGTCAGCTTTTATTCTACAGTTGGAGCCTGTCGGCGCACATTCACCAAGCCCCCACTGCACGTCTCAGGCCATGTTCAGCCCTCCATTACAAATCACAGCTCTCTGATTCATTTAAATGGAGCCCGTGTGTCAGTACAGTCAGAGGAGGCTCCAGCAAGACAAGTGTTAGGTGTTCTACTGGCCAATCAAATACATACAAGTGTACATTACATTATTTTGTAACGTTAACACTGTATTCCTATTGATTACCCTGTGATTCTCATGATAAAAGATGAAATAGTTTCCGCTATTATAACGTTTTTAACCATTAATCAGAGCTAGAAAATTACATGACACTATTTTGGTTTAGAAACTCTGCACATTGTTACACCTCCGCTGTAAAGTCCAGTTGACTCTGTAAGAGCCAAAATACTTATTTATTATTTATTTAGACTGCACACGTTTATTTTGGTTATCACTCCCGAGAGTGGACACATGGGTGTGGTTTCACGTTATCCATCCATCCATCCATTTTCTACCGCTTATCCTCTAGTAGGGTTTCGCGGGGGGGCTGGAGCCTATCCCAGCATCCTTTAGGGCGAGAGGCAGGGTACACCCTGGACAGGTCGCACAGTCCATCACAGGGCACACAGAGACAAACAACCATTCACTCTCACATTCATACCTATGGTCAATTTGGAGTGGTTTCACATTATTTACCTGTTTATTTGTGTGGCGGGATTTTATTTAAATACAACATTTGCTGGTCAGAATCTGTGTAAGACTCATCTGGACTGAGCCGTGGATCTGCACGAACGCGTCGCAGTTAAGACCCTCCTTTGCTCTTAGCAGGCTTTCTTCTGTGACGGTAGTTGCTACAGAAAAAGTGAATTTCATAAAGTTTGTGAAGATTTATGAGAATAAATTTTTAGCAACATATGTGAAGACTTTAGGTCTTTGAGCTGCCGGAAAAATGTTGAGGGATGTGTTGATGTTTTCATGCAGATATATGAGGTCACTTTGTCAGTGTTCACTCTGTCCTGTTAGTGTTCTCAGATCCTGATGAGAGCTGCTGCTCAGTTTTCCCTCACCTGTGTTTGTGTAGATCACGGGTGTGTCGATCCTGAGAGCGGGAGAGACCATGGAGCAGGCTCTGATGGCCGTGTGTAAAGACATCAGACTGGGAAAGATCCTGATCCAGACCAACCACGACACCGGAGAACCAGAGGTTTGAGAATTTCAAACATTTTTCTCTCTCACGTGTTGTGTGAAGTTCGAAGGTAATGTGCCATCCATCACAAAGTAAAATGATTTCAGCCAACGTTTTTTGAAGCGTGATGACTTTTAAAGTTCAATAACAAGTGTCCACAAAGCTGCAGCCAAGCCCTTCATCACTGAAAAATGAAATCAGGCTTTTAGGGTTTTCGGAGTGTAAAACCAGACAACAGTACAGCCTTTTTCACGGATTAAATGTGGTTTGGCAGAAATATAAACAGGATTCAGTTAAGCACCAACGCTTCCGAGCTTTCAACCTGAAAAAACTGTTTAATCATCCAGGACAGTGAATGCAGCATTTTCTCAGTTTCTCAGCTTCTTACTTGTGTTGATGTTGTTTGTACAATTTCATCAGATAATGTTGGTGTGTGATGTCATTTATCTCAGTTGTAGTGTTTAGATTTCCAAATTTAATTCTGTCTCTCACACAGACATTGTTCTGCTTTTTGTTTTTTATTGTATTTTATGTTAAGTTTTTTTTTCTCCTTTAGCTCATAAATACTTTGACATGCTGACAAAGCGTAGCTATACAAGACGTTTTCCAGGTATATTCGTAATAATTGATAATAATGATATTATAATTTTAGATTATTCTTCCAGTGATTTAATGATTTTAGCTTTTAGTGAATATCAGAATATCTGCACATTTGTTATTTTATTTCCTGTCTTGTCTCCGTCCTCCAGCTTCACTACCTTCGGTTGCCCAAAAGACATCAGTGAGGACTACGTCATCCTGATGGACAGCACCGTGTCCACCGGAGCTGCTGTCTCTCATGGCTGTCAGAGTGCTGCTGGTCCGTCTACAAAGCTCCTCAGCTGTCATTCATAAAACACTCAGTTTCTTAACCTTATGATAATTAAGGGGAGATAATTCTGGACTTCAGTTCAGGAGTATGCATTAGACATTTTAATTCTCTCTCTCTCTCTCTCTCTCTTCTCTCTTCATTTTCCTCTGTGAAGGACCATGACGTAGCGGGAGGATAAGATCTTCCTGTTTGTGCTGCTCATGGCAGAGATGGGCGTCACTCCGTGGCCTATGCGTTCCCTAAAGTCCGCATCATCACAACAGCGGTGGACAAGGAGGTCAACGACCAGTTCCACATCATACCAGGCATTGGTGAGAACGTTTTTCCTCTCTTCTCCCTGAGTTTGTTGTTTCACACAGGTGGATTTGCCTCCATTCTTCCTCTGGGAGAATTTAGTTTGTTTTTTTTTCCAAGAGAAACTTATAAAATGCTGTACAGAATTTTAAATGCAAGTTATAAACAAATACACAGATAAAACTACAGAAAAGTCCCCTGAGAAATCTAAGGACTGTGGCAGAAAGAACAGACATAAGTGGAGCTTTCTCCAGGGTGTGGTGTCCCAGTAGAGAGCAGCTCTGGTTTTAAGACCTGAACAGGTCTCAGAGTCCTCAGAGAAGAGTCTCAACAGCTCAGTTGTGTTCAGCAGAGCCAGCCACTGCAGAGGTTTAATGAATTACCTTTAACATTTATTGGCAGCGGTGAAAGAGCGTAACAAAAGGTGATGTATGGATCCATCAGTGGAGGTTTTTCCAAGTGTAAATCAACACTAAATCACAGAGGGAAGAAAACCTGCTGCTGCTCTGCTCTGTGGGTGAAAACTGCCCAGTGTGCTGCTGTGGTGATGTCAGAGCAGCTGCTTTGCTCAGTAAAACTGAATGTACTGAATAAAAAACACTGCTGTGACTTTAGTGACTGAAATGTGGCCAGAAGTGCTGCATCTAATGTATTCTAAAGGCATTAAGATGCGTGATCAGATTAGACCTGGATCTGTGACTTCAGCACTCAGTGCTAGATCAGGTTATGGGGACAAAAGATACTGGGAAAGTAGTCTCAGACGTTTGAACCCCACTGTATGAAACCATTACCTAGTTTGTCACACTAGGTAATGGTAAGGTTTATTTGTTTTTTGACTGTAGTGCCTCATTCAGTTACACATCATAGTGACAATTCTCTGAAAAAGAAATGTAAGGGATCCTGATCAAACATGTTTTCAACTCCAAATATCCAGTAACTGAAAACGCTGTGCCTCCACATTTTTCTTTTTATATATATATATAGCACATTTTATTACACATAAACTCAATGTGCTTTACATTGAGAGACAAAAATAGAAAAATACAGGCATAAACATGAGAAAATAGGCTAACGCAGGCAACCGAAATATTAAGAATATAAGCATACAAGTCAAATGCAGACAGTCCCAGCGTACATCAAACACACCACAGAGGGATGCACATGGGTAAGCAATGATAACGAACACTTGAAATCATGATACAGTTCCCAGAGGCGAACCAGAAGCGAATGAACAGTCGAGTTATTAAGTCAGCAGGTAAATGCCCACTGAAATGTCTCCAAATCCTTCACTTTGGAAAGAACAGAAGAATCCTGCACTCTGTCCATTACCTGTGCTCACTTTATTCACGTGTTCAGTCCTCAGACCTTCATCAGGCAAAGTTCATAACAGACAATCAGCACCATAGCACAATTACTAAAAGTAAAATAAAGTAGGTTTCACATCACATGATAATAATTTTTTTTTTTTTACAATCAATCCCAATATTGTTGCATAGAGTTAACCTATATAAAATCAATAATATATAAAATGAAATTTTCTCTACACCCACTTGAGTTTGCAGGTCTGGATCTTGTGTAATAGGACACATTAAAAAAAAACTATGAACCTGTCTGTATCGTTTCTCCTTTCACCTGCTGCAGTTTTCTTCTCACCTCTCTCATCCAAAGGTAATTTTGGAGATCGTTACTTTGGCACCGACGCTACCGTCAGACTGGTGCGAAAGTGATGAAGGGATGGACTTCTGAGAGAGGAGCGATCGGGACACGGAGGGTCGTTACAAAAAGCACTTATCTGGTAACCTCCTTCATCCCTCACTGCTCTGGATCTGCCCGCACGCCCGCTGACCGCTGAGGTGATGCTGTACGAACTGCTTCCTGTTCAAGAGAGTTCATTTCAGTTCAGTGAGGAGCTTAGTGAAGAATTCCATTTGTGCCATTCTGCATTCATGTTTACAGCTAAAGTTTAATCAGGGGTCACAAGTTCAAAGTGTTACCTCTCTTGCAGGATGCTGGATATTTATTGGCTTTATCGCTATTCTGTTTCACACACAACACACACTGACCTCTGATCAGCTTCAGAGTTGTAATTAATTCCACTGCAGGCTCAGAAGCTACCTATTGAGAAAAAAAATGTCTGATTATAATGTTAATGATGTTGCCAGTAATGTGTTTTTTGTTGCTAAAGCTGCAGCTGTGAAGCTTCGGAGTCGATGTCGACAACGTTTGAATGAGCGTTACCGTCAGTTTACTGGAGAAGCCTTAAAATCTTTTTCTTCTTTATCCTTCCTAAGCCAGATGTTGTATAATATATCAGTGTTGGAAAAAACTCAGCTGGGAAAAATTAACTAGAGCAATGCTCTCAGTTTTTATCAATAGGTTTAACAGCGAAAACGATGTACTTCAAAGTTTTCAATTGGATCAATCTGCTACATGTCCAATCACTAATGATCTAATTTTGCCAAAGACATGAACCTCACTTTTCTTTTAAAGACGAGTCTCTATCATAAAGCTTGATGTGAGGACTGCTGTTCTAATAGGACATTTACAGAGTTTAATGTAATATATCGTCTCTAACAAATAGTGTGGTGAAGTTTTCTTTTCTTTGCTCAAGCTTAAAGCTTTTTGTAAGAATTATCAGTGTGTTACGGCTTGCGGCTGCTGCTGCGGGCTGCTGCTACTGGCGGCTGTGCAGTAAAAATAGTATTTTCTCAGGCAACACTCATTGAAAGGGACGGACAATGATTCATACTTGACAACAAGAAGAGTGACGGAGGGAAGCACAGTCCGATGTTTTTAAGTGTTACATTTCTTTTCTCTGTTACTATTTTCTTCTGTTTTTTATCTCATTGACAAATCTTTCTCTAATTCCACTTTAGTAGTTTTCTACAGCAATAACAGCCGTCACGCCTGTCTTATTGCATCATTAATATTTAAAAACTAATACCACTAAACTAAGCTCCCCATTTAGCTTTGATCATGAACCATATAAACAGTTATAAAAAGTGGTTTTAAAACACACTATGATGTAGTTATTATAGTGTAGATGTGTTAATGTGTTTGTTAACAACTGTAACTCCTACTGGACACCCATAGAGTGGGCACTGGTGTGTTAAAAGGATACTGAACACCAATAGTAAAAGTAACATAGTAAAATACAGGTGTCGTTAATGATTATTGTTACATTAATAAACACTATAAAAAAAACCCTTATAACTACATGATAGTGTGTTATAAGAACGGTTTCACAGGTGCTTGATAATACTCGACAGTTTATGAATTGAGATTTTAAAAAAAAAAACAATCTTGAAAGTTTTTGAAAATGGACATTTAATAGACATGGGGTTATTGAAAGTGCTTAATGTATATATTCTGTGCAAGAGTCTGCCATCACTGTAAACACAGCACAGTTGAGACGTGATGACACACTTCAAGCCTCTCTCTCATTTTTCTGTGAAATTCTGTGAAGCTGTTAATTCTACATTAGTACACATTTTTAGTTTTCTAACAGTAATTAACCTCGACCCATGTCGTTGAACGCAACCTTGAATTTTGAGGAAATCTGCATGGAAAGCCCTTGAATAATCCTTGAATTGGATGTTTCAGAAGTGAGGTGGGGAATCCTGTATAAAGCATTTATTAAATGTTTATATTCGGTTTATAAATGTTAAAGTAAAGTCTCAACCCCTTAAACCTCTGTGTGTTCTGGTTACATTGAATGCTTTTAACAGCTTTGAAGACACAATATCTAACTCAGCTCTAAGCTGCTAACTAAGTCGGCGTATAGTTAGCAAATGCTTTGTAATTGCCATTGCTTGTCAAAACGTGTGTAGCAGCCACTGATTGTAACGCTCTGTGAAAAAAAGTTGTCGTTGTGATTAATAATCTCATAGACCAGATCAGAGAGACACCAGGTTGTTCTTTCTTACAAATTGGTTAAAATATCATGAAAATAACAACAGCACTTGTGTTAGGTTATAGGGTGTACTAAATTTACTTTGTCATGGACTTGAAGCCTCAGTAGCGTCTCATGTATAAACCTCCCAGTTTATGTTTGATATGATACAATGCAGAGACTGACCCATATGGGATGCCCGCGTGTTGTGGTAACCTGTTTGCTGCTTCTTATTTTTTTTGCAATTTTTTTATGTTTTTTATTATTTATTGTATCGTTGCAAGGATTCTACATCTTGACGGATTTGTTTTACACAACATCACAGCGATTTATCCAACTTTTCATAACCTAAATATTACAGTTTTTACTGTTAATCTGCGGTTTATGGACTCTGTTCTGTCGATACATGACAGGCCTTATCCACTGGACAGATTGACTTGTTGAACACAGGTTTAACTATCATTAATAATGGCTGCGTTCCCTTCAGGTGCTCCTGTGCTCCAAAATGCACATGAATGGAACAGATCTATAATCAGTGTTAGTAGTTACACCCTTTCTTATGAGCTCATCAAAAAATAAAAGCAAATTACAACTGATCATTGAATGAAAAAGTCAGCCACTGTCACCTTTTATCTGTACTGTCCCACAACAATGTTCGTATGTTTATTTATTATTTTCTTTTACTTTAATGTGGAAGCTGGTTACCTTGAATAAGTGATTTACATGAAAGAGTTTTGCTGAACTATGTTGCAAATATATTCATTTTTAAGCAATGTGCAGACTGATAAACTTTTTCACAGCTTGGAGAAACACAGGTGAAACTAGAAACAATCATTAATTAATCAGTGGATCAAATGAAAAATAATTATTTACACAATTATTTTGATAATCGGTCAATCGTGTTAAGTGATTTTGTTTATGCTAAAATGATAACAGAAAATGCCTCTCAAATATTAAGATCTCCCACTTTTCACTGTTTTTATGTCATTTTACACTTAATATCTTTTTTGGACTGTTGGTTGGATAAATTAAGGACAGTTGAAGATGTAAATTACTGGGATGGACATTTTTTTTACTACTTTTACTATTTTCTGATATTTTTGATAAATTCAACAATTGATTGATTGAGAAAATGATATGCACACATTTATCAATAATGGAGAACGTTATTATTACAGTCCAGCCCTAGGTATAACTAATAACACTAGTAATGGTTCACTTCTGTTCA